GGGGGGGGAGGGGGGGCAGTTGTAATATCACGTACGCATTCAGAAGACTCTATAGTTTTTGCATAAGTATAAACTCAATAACACAAACTAATAACTGATCATAAACTTCAAATTTTGACTTTGTCTATGATACGCGACTTCCTATATTGCTATTTTTTTTTGTGGGTAATTAAAGACTTTATTACTGTTGAGAAATATATATTTACAGCTCAGAAATAGAATTTTGCTATTTCTACCGTGGTTAAGAAGGTCATCGCGCACTGATTTCATAGGAGAATTGATATATTAAATGCACAATAAATTGAAGGTGGAAAAGAATTAAATATAAAGAACAGTAAGCATGGCAGGTACCCTACCTGCTCTAAGAGGAAAGATGTCAGCAGACAGGTAATTTAACACTTGGGGTTTGTCTTTTCTTTCTTGGCACCGTACAAAGACACACCTAATCTTCCAAATATTAAATTAATTCACAACTCAGATTCTCAGACTCATCTCAATCTTATGTTATTATATGAATTTTTTTAAGTTTAATTTTATATACATAGTCCGTTTGGCTTCACCAATATCCAAGTCCCAACTATCAGAGTATCAGTCCCTCACATTACACCCCTATAGAAGACACAAAAGAAAATGTTACAAACATACGTCCAAACGTAAATGAAGTTGCGTATATATATTTTAACTTGGGAATGAAATCATGTGTGATGAGATCATAGTTTAGATACATTGTACAAAAACAAGGATAAAGAAGTTTAAATTAAGTAATTTTAGATATTACTTCTAGTATTTTAAAAGGTGTGGGCGTAAGGCGAGACATTTTATATATGCCTCAGCAAGACGTAAGCCTCATGGGCATTTAATTTTTAATATTTTATAAAATAATATAATTAATGTAAATATTTATAAACATGTAAAATTGCATAAAAATTGAGGAAAACTATATATATATATATATATATATATATATATATATATATATATACTCATCCACATGAAAAACTAGTCAAAACAGTATATTATACACTACTTACAAGCACAAGTAACTTGAGTCGAAAAGAATAAAGTTTTCTACATGGAGGAACAAAAAGGATGACTACCTACAATTTGAACTTTGAACTTGCTGCTACGAAGGAGAATGGAATTCTATTTGAATTTGTAAAAAAAAAAAGAAAAAAAAAATTTGTATATCCGTTGCTTTTGGAAGATATTAGAAGACTAGGGGACAAGATAAAGAATTGGGAAAGACCATAAATTAGGGTTCAATCAATAAATAAAGGTTAAATTTAATACATTTCAGTTCCTTTTTTAAACCTTTGAGTAATTACAAGCTTACTTTTGAGAATTTGGGTATTATATGAAGGACTTATTCAACAAATTTTATTTTAATTTGAAAAAGTCTCTGGGGCTTACGCCTTACTAGAAAAATGCGCCTCAAATGCCCAGGCGTATGCCCCGAACGCCCAAGCGTACGCCCCGAATTGATGGGCGTACGCCTCTTGAGACTTTCGCCCATACCATCGCCTCGGGGCATTTTTGATGCGTCTCGCCCCAAAATGCCTTTTAAAACACTGGTTACTTCCTAGAGTGCCGGCTAAACGAAGAAGTAAACCCTACACAAATTAATGAGACATCAACCGATTTTCAGCTAGTAGCGTTCTCTTCTTATCATTTTATTTCGTTCTAAAAATTAATCTGATCTCACCGGATTGAACAAAAGGGAAGCAAAGGATGGATGGTCCCTGAACAACGAGAGGGCTATTTGTTCACTTAGCCTCAGTGAGATGTAGAAATCTTTTTTTTAAATGACTAAATAGAGACAGTGCATTTCGAAAATATTGAAAAGTTAAACAGACATTTTTCGTCCCCAATATTGTCAGCAAGATGACATATGTTAATGTTGTAAAAAGGAGACCCAGGGATACAAACTAGTAATATGTGTTGGCAATTTGTTAGCATCTTATATGAGTAATATATTATAGTGACCTACGAAGAATTTAGTGACTCTTATCAGTTATCTAGGGCCAATCATAATTATTACATTGCATTACGATAATTTGTCTTCTGTGGCCGATAGGTAGAGAAGCTCTTTGTCTAGATTCCACTAATTAAAGGCTTAGTGTAATGAGTCAAAATTACTCTCAAGTACCTCGTATGTTAAATCTCAACTTTTTGTATGCATATATATGTTTTGTCAATATTTGGGAATCTTTACATGCCCACACTTTCATGAACTACCCTTTCAATTATCCGAATGGTTCCCCTGAAAACGAAAGGATAGCAAGCAACTAATCAACATCAAGTTGTCAATATTGGACGTAATTCAAAAGTGATATAAATTCTCAAACTAAAATTTAAAATAATAAATCTTCTTGCTCCAAGAGTAGTTGTTGTGGGAATAGAAGATAAGGAAAATAGTTTCACTAATAAAATCGTGATGCTCCGCCAGCCATTTCACATGCTGGATAGGCTATGGAGGATCTAGATCTGTGCTGGTTTCATAGGACCGAGTGACACAAGATTTGCTTCGACTCCTGGGCTGGAACCTGGAGGGTTGTTCCGAGAAATCCTTTCAGGAATAAGTCACCTTTTTTATCTATACTTAAACAAATAAAATGGAGTATATAGTGTTATATCGAGGAAGAGGCAAACCCGAAAATAAAGAAGATAAACAACATCAAATTTAACGTGGAAAACCCTTCAAACCGAATGTAAAAACCACGGGATCACAAGGATCCAAAAAGTTCCACTATAACAATAAGAGGGTTACAAAAGTTCTCCAAATTGGCTACACAATAAGTGCCAAACACGGAGCAACAACAAATCAATTAAAGAAGGAGGAGAAGCCACAAAAATGGAGTTGTTGTTCGGGGCTCGAAATCAGACGCTACGGGTCTGAAATCCGATATTCGCCGTTCAAATCAAAGATCAAGATGTAAAGAACACTCAGTCAAAATTTTAGCTCGATCTAACAGTTAACGAACCAAAAAACGTGATTTGAAGTTAGATGGTCGGAACAAAAATCTATAGGAAAAAAAACACTTTTTCTTCTCTCTTCTCTCTTGATGAAAGCTCTCTAAAAAATTACTCTTATGTGCTAAAGTCTTTTAAAGACTTGTACCAATAGGCATAGAACAATTCTCTAAGGTTGTCCTATTTATAGATAATGAGTGGTGCTTTCTTTAAAGCCAAAACCAACTCTAAATAGGAATAAAAATCAAATCCATTTCTGAATAGGAATGTAAACCAAAAGAGAATATGATTAGGCCATTGGGCCTTTGGCCGGACAAGATGGGCATGGGCCCAACAAACTCCCACTCCAGCCAAGGGGCCAAATATGTCTTCAAGTAGAGGAACTATTGACAGGCTTCATGGGGCCAATTTTATACAAAACACATGCTTATTTGCAAGCCTAACTGCGAAGTCCTCAGGCTGCTCCATATAAATCTCCTCATCTGAATCACTATGAATAAAAGAATTCTTGACATCCATATGCTCAATCTCTAAATCTAGACTCGCGACTAAGCCTAGAACCACATGAATAAAAGACATCTTCACACCATGAGAGAAAATTTTATCAAAGTCAACTCCCTTCTTCTGGCCAAAACCTTTACAACTAACCTCGCCTTGTACCTAGGCGCAGAGGTATGTTGATCTTGCTTTACTCTGAAGGACCATTTGTTTGAAGATTGCCCATGTCCAGAAGATGAAGGTAGCAGAGATGAGGATGTTGCGATGGATGTACTATAACGACCCGACCAGTCGTTTTGAGCTTTAGCGCGTAGTTTGGTGGTTTTAGGCCATGAGTAACTTCACTTCAGGTATTATGACTTGCACGCATGGTGGAAACTGAATTTCGGAAAGTTCGGGGTTTATTTGGAAAGAAAATTCTAATTTCGGAAGCTTTAAGTTGGAGGAATTGACTAATATGTAATTTTTGAGTAAACAACCTCGGACTCGAAATTTGAAGGCTCCAACAGGTTCGTATGATGATTTTGGACTTGG